GCTCCACTTCTCTGGCAGTGGCCAGTTCTCGCTCCCCAGCCACCCCAGGGTCCCTGTCCTCTCTCCTTTCCCAGCTTTGTCCCTCGTCTCCCACGGCCAGGCAGGGAGGGGAAGGCAGGAAGAGCCAAAGGTCCTGTTCTTCCCTGTGAGGCTGCAGCACTCGCAGCTGTGAGAGCGGTGGGCTGAGCTGCTGTCTGGAGGGCTGCACATGAGGAACCCCCACATCCACCCAGCCCAAGGTCATCCCAGGGGTCCCCTGCCACAGGGACATCATTTTCCATCTCTGAGAGCGTGGTGCTCCCCAGCGGGCTCCACGGGTCTGCTCTTCCTCTGGCTCCTGAGCCCCTTCTCCTCTCAGGGGTCTGTGCGTGCGTGTGTATGTGTGTGTGTGCAGATCCCTGCCGGATCCCATTGCCAGAGCTGATGCCTTGGCTCTGAAATCTTAATTTGGCTGTGATGAATCCAGACCACCAAGGCGCACATTAATTTTCCTGATGCTCGTTTATATTTTGTTGATCGGAGAAATATGCGTGATGTGGGCAGGCAGACACTGGGCTCTCGCCTCTTCTCCACCTCTTTCCATTTCTGTGCCTCTTACTATTTTATTCCTTGATCAAGTATAAAAAGCAAAGAGGAGAAAATACTCCGCACCCTCCCCCCCTCCCCAGCAGTAACTTTCGTTGTTGGAGGAGCGCGAGATCGCTGCCAGCTTTTCACAAGTTAAGAGTTAAACTTCATCTGGCTTTAATACCCAGTGGAAACATGGCTCCCCTCCTCAGCTTGTCTTAAAGGATTAATCACATTTCTGAAGTTCACTCATATTCCTTCTTTTTATTATTATTTTTTTTAATTGAACGATGCCAAGAAATTCCAGAAGTATTAAGCATGTTCGCTGCAAATCATTTTTATGACATTGCAAAACCTCCCTTTTTCTTTTCAACCTCCTCCCCTTCCCTCAGATCTGGGCCCGAGAACGCTGGCTCCCCCGGCAGCCGCCCTGCAGCCCCTCCGCGCCGCGCTTGGGGAGCCTTTCTCGCCACCTTGCCAAGAGAGCTGGTTTTTATTTAAACTCCATAAAGGATCTTGCTTTAATCAGAAAGTCTGCTTGAGAAATTTCATGTCACTTTTCCATGACTGTGGGTGGGAGAAGCTTGGAGCCAGAGTTGTCTTTTGCTCTTGGAGTGCTGCTGCATTTCCCAGAGAACAAAAACACATTTTTTCTGCTGCCGGGGGCTGCCACGGGAGGCTGCCTGCCGTCCCCCCGCCGCCAGCCCTCCTGCTTCCCCCAGCTCTCCAAACTGCCCGGGGTCACATCCCGAGATGGGTTTTGAGGGGCAAGGGAGCTGCTGACAGCGCGTGGCCACGCCGTGCCACGGCGACGGATGCGATGTGCTGCCTTAGCATGGGGTTTTGAAAAGGGAGTGCGGTCTCGTCCGGATTTAGCAGCGTGTCGCTCAGGAGACGTGTGTTAGCGCTGGATCCCGGGGAATATGGGCCAGCTTGAGCCTTGATGTGACAACGTGACTTGTGACCAACCGCAGGATGTGCAGTTGTTACTGGTGGTTGCTTGGGCTGGTGCACAGCACCATAAAAATGCATGTGCAGGACTTTTTTCCTGGCAGAAACCCCTCTCCCTCCTGGCACAGGCTAACTGCGACAAACTTCGGGTTTGCAGCGCCCCAGCAAGATTTGCTGTTGTGCCCAGGGAGAGCAGGGACCCGGTTTTACCTCTGGGAAGCTTGGCAAGGCCAGGCTGATATGCTCCCTGCCCTGCCAGATCTGCAGGGTTTCACCACAGTCCTCTGCTCCTTTGAAAAACAGGGAAAAGAAAACAAAAAGTCATGTGCCCCTTTCCCCTGCCCCTGTGCTGCTGCTCCTGCTGCCCACATCGGCCCTGCCAGGGGAGTGACCCCTCTCACAGCCTCACAGGGGGACATGTGCTGGGACAGGGTTTTTTCCTGGCTGCTTTAGGGAGGGGGCAGCTGTGCTGTGTCCTGGAGGAGCTGCTTTTCCTTGCAAGTCTCTGTTCTTTGAACTTTTGTGTGGGCACTGCTTGGGCACATGCAAAGCTTCATGGTTAATCAGCCTTCAGCTATGAGATACTTGATGGGAGCAAGAGTGCCCAGAGCAGAGACACGGATTGCTTGGGTGCTGGAGGAGCTCAGGACAGCTCTGGGAGCATCCAGTGCTCACACACCTTCTCCTACTGTGTCACCCGGCGTCTGTACACCCTTGAAGCAGGCTTAGCTCCTTGAATTATGACTACAAAGTTAGCTTCTCAGTAGCAGGACAGCAGCTGCGTTTGAAATAGCAGGCAGCAGAAGGACCATTTTTGGCCGTGCTTCAGTGCTGCAGTAAGTTGGCTCATTTTTCACTCTCAGGCCAGGATTTTTCGCACCCAGTTTCTCAGCCGTGGAGCAGGCGGTTTCTCCAGAAGCTGTGTTTTAAGTTATCCATTTTGTAGGAAGGAGGAGGAGAAAAAAAAATACAGCTCTGAAAACAGGCCAGTTTCCCTGACTGCTGGGGATGGAGTGGTCCTCTGCTGGCACTGCAATTAAACAGCCCTCAGGTCCTCAGAGAGAGCATGAGCCCAGGCCCCAAGGCCAGGGTGCTGAGCCAGCCACTGAAATGCCCTGTCGTTCGCTCTCCCTGCAGATCTCAAAGATTTCAAGTTTGATGGCCAGCACGTGATCGAGGTGGATGAAGGGAACACAGCTGTGATCGCCTGCGACCTGCCTGAAAGTCACCCCAAGGCTCAGGTCCGCTACAGCGTGAAGCAGGAGTGGCTGGAGGCCTCCCGAGGTGAGTGTCGCCGGGGTCTGTCCCACTGGGTCCCCTCCCAGGACCCTCAGTTTTACTCTTCCCTACCAGCAGTAGCTTTCTCTGCCTGCTGCCTCCTTGTTGTGCCTTCACCACTGGTCTGAGCAAAGGTCAGTTTAGAGTCTCTGCCAGGTCTGCTTGCCTGGGACTGGGGAGCCACGTGTAACACCAGCTTTGCAGTAAGGTGAAAGGAAGCAGAGTTAGGTGATGCACAACATCACTCTTCATTGAGCAACATCATTCTTCATTGGGCATCTCTGTGTGTCTGTAAAGCATTCTTCTACCCCAGCCTGGGTGAAGGTGACTTTGAATTTGGAGAAAGTTTTAAAATTTGGATCTGAATTTTGCAGCTTCACTCCATCTGCCACATGTAGCTGTGACAAGCTAGCTTCATCTAAGGCTCTGTTCCTTCTATCATTGCATCATTCCTCCCTCTGATGTTTGAACCACGAGGGGTCATTCAAGTGCTGTTGGTGTTATCACATTGTTTTTTCCCTTCCCACTTGTCCACCTTTTCTTCAGAGCACTTAATGTCCTCCAGGAGGCTAGGCAGGAGCATGTCTCGTGACCATGTGCCACCTTCTCTTTTCTCCCTCTATAGACAATTACCTTATCATGCCATCTGGGAACCTTCAGATTGTCAACGCCAGCCAGGAGGATGAAGGGACTTACAAGTGTGCTGCCTACAACCCTGTGACGCAGGAGGTGAAAACTTCGGTCTCCAGCGAGAGGCTCCGTGTGAGACGTAAGCCACTCTCCCGTCACTGCACGTCTTCTCCATCACGCTTCCAGCCCTGGGAGCATGTACCAGTGCTATTGCAGCTGGTTTTCTGTATGAACTGACATTCTGAATCACAGAAT